TTTGGAATATTTGAAGAGAATAAAAGAAATAAGAAAATATTGGGTTTTTAAGTTATTGGGCTTGGATGTCGTTAGTAAAGAGTGGGGGTGCAAAAGAAATAAGGATATATTTTGGAACTCAAGTTATTTTCTCACTTCTCACGATAACACAGAAGTTGGAGATATTTGGGATTGGAGCTCTGAAGAACGAAGAACAATCACTCAAAAGTTCAAAGCTGCAATTTGATAAGGTAAGGGGGGCTACTACTCAATTTATATTTGCTTATGGGTTTAGATGCGATTGGCTGGGTAATCGTAGGATAATCCCATTTTCTCTGATGTTCTTAGTGATTGATAACTTTAGGGTCGAATTTCGTTAGAAAAGATTAGGTTCCCTAAAGGTTGTGAATCGATTAAGAAATTAATCCCTATTGTTGATTTAGATCGAAATTGTATGATCGGGAGTTTCCCTTAGGTGTTCTAAGGATAACCTTGATGTTATCAGATTTCCCAAAAAGGACGAATAATCACTTTTAAGGTTACCTTGATAATTGTTGGTAATTATAAAATTAAGTTTTTGGATTAAATGATTTGGAAAAGGAATTCTGTCTTCCAACGATTTTAGAAAACTATAACCTTGAAAGGATTTGAGTTATTCAATTTGTGGGAAATTGATGAACATAAGTCAGAGGCATAGGAAATTGATGTTTTGGAAACTTGATGTGTATTTGGATATTTTGTATTGCATTGCACTGCTGTAGAAATGTATTTTCGTGCAAATATGTTGGCATATGAGCTGCTGCAGGTACAGGAAAAATTTGTACGCGCTCATCAACACGGGCCGTGTTGCACAACACGGGCACCCGTGTTGATCTTCTGTATGGGCAACACGGGCCGTGTTGCTGCACACGGGCACCCGTGTTGACCTCCTGTGTTGGCTTCTGAATTTTGTTTTCTGTGCTTTGTTGTGGTGTACAGGAATGATTTTGTTTAATGTGCAGTGTTTGTTAGTTTTGAACATGCTGCTTAATGATATGCATAGTATTGTGGAGGCTTGTGTCGAATAATGTTTGTATGTTATGATACCAACACTATGTGGATTTTATTGTCATGCTTTTAGATAATGTTATCAAGCGTGGATTATGATATAACTTGATATGATTGGTTGGTGTTTAATAGTATGCTGAGTGATTACATGCTATTCATATCATGTTGTATTGGATATTGTTGATGTTACACGATATGGTTTATTGATGTTAATAGTATGTTGAGTGGTACATACTGTACATATCATGTTGCATTTGTTAATTCCCATTGTGTGGAATTAACATGGTGGCCAATATACGTGTCCGCGATTTAATGGAACGTTGAGGTGGTAGCCGTGTCTGCGATATAATGGAACGGTGAGTTATCCGTGACCCGAGATTTAATGGGGCGGTAGAATGGTACCACATGCATGGGTGTGTTGCATTATATTGAATATAACATGAATGGATGATTTTCCAATGTTGTATTTAATTGATTGTATGCATGTATTGTTGCTGAATTATTAATGATGTTTGATGTTAATTATAAGTATGAAAAGTAATATATTATGAATATATGAAGTGTAAAGGTTTTCGTAAACTATGAAACATGCTAACTGTTTGGGTGATGCTTATGGTTTTTCTGAATTGATTGTTATGAACGTATAATCAAATGTATAGTTGAGATGCTCACCCTTACCGTTGAATATTTCAGATTGAGGAGCTTCGTTCAGGTGCTTGGCGAAGGCTTGTTGTTTCTAGTTTATTTTCGTTTAAGTATTGTTCGGGTCATGCTCTGATAGTTGTAACTCCGGGAACGTTTGTTTGTCGAACTGCTTTAGTCAGACTCGTTTATTCCTTATGTTTGTTATAATATGATGTTGATATATTCCAGGTGTTAATCCCTGATGATTTTGAAAATATTATAACATTGGTTTTGTTAATTAAATTATTCCGCTGTGTAAACATGTATGAGTTGCTTCTATGTTATGCATGACAAGAACTTGTTTTTGTAAAAAAAAAAGAGAATTGTGACATCCTCGTTAATACATGTACTCTGAAAGTATGATTTTAATTATTTGCGAAATTTTATGCGGGGTTTTAGAGGGTGTTACAACTCCCGCGAAGGGAAGCTGGCCGCGAACTGGGAAGGGCCTTATCGCGTCCACGACACCACTGGTACCGGGGCGTACTACCTCGAGCAACTAGACGGAGAGCCACTACCACGACCCTGGAACGCTGCTAAACTAAAGCAGTACTATAGTTAAAAACCACCAAGACTGAGGACCCTCGACTGTCGACTCCCGCGCCCAGTCAACGAGGAGAAACGTCCGAACCCGTAGAGAGGCCAAGGTACAAGCCCGACCTACGTCCAAACCGCATAACATCGTTCAACAAAACAAGAACAAACGATGGTGCCCGACGTGGACACCTCTACCGAGCTCCACCGTCGAAGTACCTGTAGGGCAGAACACCCAGCTCGCAATGGGCAATTCACGTCGCGGGCAAATAACCCCGACTGGGTCATATACCCGACCAAGCGGCTTCGCTCCGCATGCCCGACGAATCTCGAAGAACGTCGGGCCATCTAAAAGGGTAAAAAAAGGAGTCTCTCCCCGCGAGTTCACCACTCAGGCGACTCCGGCCATCGAGAAGAGGCCGAGCATATACACTAGCAAAAGACTTAGGCCAATGTGTCACAGCCATATACGGGCACAACTCGGGCCCATAACTTAGGCCAATTTTTGCGCAAAAACATAAAACACAAGCACGGGCAAACAATCAAAAGAGTGAAACATTCATTCAAAATGCCCGTAGGCGATAAAGCAAATAGATGTAAACCGACCACAAAGGCCGAAAATGTTCAGGAAATACAAAGAACGGGCACGCAGGTCCAAAAAAGCGCGAACAGGGAAAACACGTTATGGGGCCCAAACACCCTATTTATAGTGATGACGTGGAATACCAAACGTCACCCCGGGGAACCACAGAATTTCCCTCCTCGACGTGTAGCTCCCCTAGACAATGATGACCCCATCGTCCCTAGGGTGGCGGCACGGTTCCCAAGAGATGCCTCATGTGCCCAACAAACGCAGCCCGCCGAGACTCCCCAAGCGCTCCTCGCGCGGTATCATCTCGTATGCCCGACACGGGGAAATCTCCTCGAACAAGCCGCGGGAACGACACATTCTAGCCGGGAGCGGGACCCCGTGACGCAGGCGACCTAAGATCAAGTCATGGCTCCTACTACAGGAACCACGACTTGGGGGGCTCCTGTTCTGGACTGGGTCGGGCTGGCCCAAAAGCAATGGTGATGGTCCAATCCAAACGGTCTTGCAAGGGGTCACGCCGACCAAAAGGCCATGTCCGTGCCCGGCATTCTCTACTGGTGCGACGTCCTCGACTCCATGCTATCCTGCTCGACCCCAGCTCGAGCACTCCTCTTAGGACAGACTCTATCCACTACGCCATCACCTCGATCCCGAAAAGACCGCGTCCTCGTCCATCCGTACTTCACGCAGGACATCCAGGAAGGGGACCACGTGCGGGTCCCTACTACGCACGTAGAACTTGGCAGTTCCTTCATTGGGTCAAACCTGCCCGGCCCAATGAGGGAACATTGGCCCAACGTTGGGGCTATAAATACCATCTGTTCCCAGAGGGTCAGGTATTCATTCTTTTACCCATACTCGTACTCTGGCCTGCTGGTGCTCTTACTTACTTCAGCATCGGAGTGCCTTGCAGGTACCTCCCCCACCTCGTTCAAAACTTCAGCTCGGAACCAGCCGTGACGGTCCAAATCTGATCAGGTTAGATCAGAAAGAAATCAAGAGAATTGTATTTACTTCAAAGTCGTAGAGGTAGACATCATTGACAAATTGTGTAAATAAAGATTGACCGTATTCATTGTCTTATTATTATTTTTCCTTTAATCTTCTATATTTGCTGCTGCTCTAACACTTAATTTTAGGTATAGTCAATTCCGAATCCATAATTAATTTTAATTACAAAAATTTTAAGACTTCAAAATTAATTCTACAATTCTAAAATGATTTTTTTGACTCTTTCAAAATAAAACAAACATATACTCTCAATGTACAAATCAAGTTTAGATTCAAAAGTTACCAATCTTATTAGACCATAGTAACTATGGAAATTTTACAAAACGATTAAAACTAAATCCTTGATTTTTACAATAAGTAACAAAGAAATAGTTGAAATAACTTAAATAAATTATTGTACCGTCAATTTAATGATTGTATGGTGTATCAAAATATGTTGGTTAAAAGCATGAAATGAAATTCAAAGTAAAAGTTTCATCTGAACAAAATATGCATGAATTGCATAAATATAAGTTAACATTGTAAGAGCCAGCTATTAGTTTAAATAAAACTCAACTTATGTTTCATCATTGGCGATACTAAGAATCAATTATAGAGATCCTCAATTTTATTCGAAACAACTAAAGCATATCAAAATTAATTTTACATGTCAATAACAAATTAGATGCTTCAAAAGTGGAACCACAAAAGTCATTTTTATTTTATTTATTTCTATATCTTAATACATTCATTTACCCGTGTGGTTGGCTTAGCTTCATTTGGCTTACTATTCCTTAATTGTATATATACTAGTAGGGTATTTCTTTCTGCCATATTTGTTTCTCAAAAAAAGGAAAAAAAAGAAGTCAATTTCATGGGGTAAAGAAATTAATTGTGTTTAGAGAGAGAGAGTGATGTAGGGGCAGATTGGGTGTGATCCAACCTCACCCTATTTCAACCAATCACAAACTCTTATTATATTACTTTTGATGAACCCTTCACTGCCCCTCCCCACATATTCCTTATCTCCTTACTCCTACAAACCACACCAGCAACACTGCACAATATCAAAGCCTTGAAATTCTTCACATCATATTCACTCATCTTCTCCTTCAACACTTTCTATAACCCTTATCCTTTCTTGTATCCTAAACTAATTATAGAATATTGCATTATGGCAACTAACTCTCTTCATTCAATTCAACACCATTCTCTCATCAAACGCCAATACTACTACCCTTCTGAAACAGCTCCTCCATCCACACTTTCATCCTCACTTTTCCTCAAACCAACCAGCACCAGCATAAGCCTCTCTCACTCTTCAACTTCAAACACTTTTACCACATTTTCGCTATCTCAAACAACATCTTCCACACCATCATCAACCTCTCAATCCTCCTCCTTTGAACTCCTTCAGCAGCTTCTCTCAGCCAAAAACTTCCGAGAAGCTGACGATGAAACAAGGCGCCTCCTCATCGTCTTAGCAGGCGAAGCGGCTCAGAAGCGCGGATATGTTTTCTTCTCAGAGGTCCAGTTCATCTCAGAAACCGACCTCCAAACAATTGACAAGCTGTGGAGGGAGCATAGTGACAACAAGTTTGGGTACAGTGTTCAGAAGAAACTATTTGGTAAGGCTAAAAAGGACTTCACCAACTTCTTCATTAAGGTTGGTTGGATGAAGAAACTTGACACTGAGATGGAGCAATATAACTATAGGTCTTTTCCTACAGAGTTTATATGGGAACTCAATGATGATACACCAGAGGGTCATTTACCTTTGACAAATGCACTCAGAGGAACACAGTTGCTGAGTAATATTTTTAGCCATCCAGCTTTTGATGCAGTCCAAGATGAAGTTGAAGTTTCATTTGGAGGAAATGGAGCATTCAAAGGGTTAAAAGATTCATCAAAGACATCAGCTCAGAATATGCTCAAAACAGACTATAGTTTCTGATAGAGTTCAGGACAAAGTTTACAATAATAAAGCCTGCTGAATGCATAGAGAAGAATGTAACTTTATTTGTGTTTTCATTTTTAAGTATATACATAGTAATTATTGATTCATCATCATCAAGAGATGAAGGTAGTTACTTGAATTGTATTTTTTATTACTTTTAGTAAGGATAACTGCATTCTATAAACTCTTTAAACTGAAGGTTCATATGTTAGCTATCATAATTTTGTGTGAACCCTTGTGTACATAATGGACAAAATTACATAGCCTGCCATTTCGTTTTATAAAATATGTTTCTATAGTGACAACTGTTAATTTTTCAATTGCGACTTGCAATGGAGCTTTACCACAAATACAAAAATTGATTTCAGCAACTTGTGCATTTTCTATAGATTATTTACTTAAAAAGTCTTTCACTTTAGTTTTCCCTCCACAGTTTCATTTCTCATTTCATTCCCTTCCACCCCACCAAAACAAAACCTAATAAACACCTTCATTCCAATTTTTTGAACAATTAGGAACTATGTTATGTGTTACAGTTACTTTAGAACGTTTATAATCAAGAATAGTGCTAGTGCAACACTTCTATTGTACACATAAAGTAGGTACTAATGAGAGAAAAATGAAGTAAAACTAAATGTTGTAGTGGTAAAATACATGCACCTGTTAAGAGCTGAAAAGTGAAGAAATGCAGGTTAGAACCTGCACCACTCAATCTCAGATGTGTTTGATGCTTTTATCCTCTAAATTGTACTTACATGGAGACGTATATGCAAGTCTATAAGTATTGTTATTGTTTTATAATTAATGGGGTATTGTGTTACTTATCTAAAACCAATAAAATGCTTGATAGAATCGGTAATGGAGAATATAGCTGTTTCTATTTCAATTTTTACATTTATTTTTTGTTCCATAAATTTAGTTTCTTGTTAAAAAACAAAAAATTCATAAACAGCCAGTGTTAAAATTTACTTACAACATTTTATCACAACATTTCTTCTCTCTTTAATCCATTAAAACATGAAAGTAACCCTTTTTCTATCTAGCCTATTCTCTTTCCCTTGTATCTCTATCTCAGTCTCTCTAAATTTTCCAATCGCTGCCCGAAGTAGTCTTCTTTCCAAATTGACCAAGAAAAGGCTAATAAGCTAAATTTTTACAACATAAATGGATACTAAATTTCTCAAGGTTGATGCTTTTTACATGCTTCCTCCTTCCATACCATCAAAACAAGAGTTGCCACTTCTATACCAGCCCTTCCAGTGCTATAAATCTAGTACATCAGAAATTGAGATTTAAACGAAAAGGAAGCAAAATTTGTAAGGAAACGCGTTAAATAGATAAGACAATCAATCACCCAACTGAAGAAAGAGATTTTAATTTCTGACATCACAGACAATTTTAAAATGTTAAAAAGGACCTCAACTTACCCGGAAAAAAACACTAAGCACATGGACACAATCTCTTTGTGTGCTGATGTGAACCGTCACAAGAAAGTATAGATTGTGTTTCAGTGTATAAACATGATCCTGGATTCTGAAAACAATCCAAAGCAATATCAATTTAAATGTTCTGAACTTGTTTTCCTTAGCATAGGTTTCACCAGTATTGCAGAAGTTCAAACTGAATATTTCAGCCATACACATCAAACAATCATTAAATGTAAGAATTCTATGACACTGTATCATCTTATTCCAATTTATATAGCAAAAAATTCTGACTTTAACCTCTATTCAGAAATTTCTGGAATCTAACATTTTGTTTTTTTCTAAATCATAAAATAAATTATTACCAGATACTTGGGGGCATCGTAAACTACTTCAGAAGGTTGATCTGCCCCAACACTTGCCAAGCAAGATCCTTTGCAGTTCATGTATTTCTGTATACTGCTCAAATAACAGAGTTCAATTGATACGATCAGTACATAAAGTGAAAATAAACAAAGCATTCACGCGCTGGAATAATATTTCTTCCTCGCTTCATATTGTTTTCCTTGCCGATACATTATCCATGACAAGCATGCTAGCGCCAAACATTAATAAAATGGATTCTAGGTCATTTGTCTAGAGGATAAACAAAACCAGAAAGATTTTATATATGCCTTGTATGTATGTAAGGTAAAAACCATAAAAGTTAACAAAATTATAGATTTAGTGGACAGTGCGGATGCATTACTCAATAGTACCATTGAAATATATCAGCAACAAAATTTAGAACACAGATTCGAAGTATCACTTACATGTCACAATGATTAAGCACCACAATTTTATTTGGGACACATGATTGTCCTCTTGATTTGCAAACTGAATTACATGATTCACCTTGCCTGTCAAACAAGTGATAAGAAGTTCAACTGCTAAGCCACAGCAAGAAACTGCAAACATTAACCTCGACTAAAAAGAACCAATGTCAATAATAATATTAATATACCTCCCAACAACAACATTGATGCCATTCAGCCTTGCTTCTGTGAGAGTACTATTTGCCCCTGTGCTTTCCATACATGAAAAATACCAGATTCCATCAAAATAGCTATAAATAGGCCAAAAGCATAAATGTACTCAGCAAAAGACCTAAATCTACAACCCACCCATGACAAGAACATGGCTGCAATATATGTATCCAGATGAATATGAAGCACAATGTCATTTGAAAGAAATATAACCGTCTACTTAACTACTCAATATCATCTCACGCCGTTCTCCTTCGGTATGGGCAAAAATAGTATGGTAAATTATTGCTATGCTATATGTATCGCTAACTGCTGAAGTTTTAGAATTGGCACCTGGCTAGGTCAGAAAAGGATTAGGAGCTTAACACAATTATAAGGCAGTCACTTCTGCAGACTTACCAGAAGAATTTGATGGCAGAGAAAAGCAGTGGTGGAGGTCACTAAGATAAGCATTTTCATGAACCTGAAACATTAAATACCAAGATAGAAACATTAGCAACTTTACTTATCATAAACATGGCTTTCAAACTAACTCGCAAGCTAACTCTTGGACTCTAACGAATTTACAATCCTAGGCGGCAAAAATAAGTTATTCCGCATGCAAATGCTTTTCGTCAAACTAATATGTGTTTAATTAAACTTTTTTGACAAAACCAATAAATTCTTAATTCTACTGACAAGTTAATGAGTAAATTTAGACATTGTTTTGGCTTCAATATGCACGGTTTGTTCGATTTTCTAGAATACTTGAGTTGAGTTGTCTCTATTGGGCAGCATGTATAGGTTTATGAACCTAATAACAGACTAGAAGGGAACAATTTCATATATCATGGAAATTTGAGATAAAAAGCAAAGAACAAAAAACATGTTCCAAATAAATTGTTATGTTGATTAAGAGATAAAAGTGAATAAGATACAGCCAACTCCTCCCCCGTAAATCCGTAGAACTAGATATCTATGCAAAGCTTCCTCTGACAAGAAGATAAGTTACCATGAAAATAGTTTTTTTAAACATAAAAAAGCAACCTTATGTTATTCAAGGTATTAACCTCATAAGAAAGTTTCTAGAAGAAAGATACAGTTTCAAGAACAAAAGAATACCAGGAATAAGGGAGTTTACTCACCACACTTTCAGAACTATGACGACATCTCCCAGTGCAGTAGTCAAAAATACTTTCATAACTCCCTGCAAAAAAAAATGTCAAATGGTGTTTTTCTGGTAAAAAAAAGTTGACTTATGTATATTACTCAAACATGTTTGTCAAGGCTGTGTTTGGCTTATAGAAACAACTTATAATATACTTATTAGCTACTTTCAGCAAAAAAAAATTAAGCTCTCCAAGATAGCTTACGAAAACAACTTATAACTTAAACGAAATCGTTTTGAGCATATTTTCTCTCACAAAGTGCATATATGAAGAGTGCTTATCCTATAAGCTCTCACAAAAATTTCAAATTATTAAAACAGAAACATTACTTGCAGTAGCAGGTTTAGCAATCTTCATCTTCAACACTTGTTCCTTACGTGTCTGATAAATTAAGAGCCAACTAAACAGTTAGCCCCTTCGCCGAACTTGAATTAATAAAAAGGCGGCAAAAAAATTTACCAATGCAGGATTGAGACAGCAAGAAACACAATATTCATAAGAATTGCAACACTGTGAAAGAAGATTGCATCCACTGCAAATCGTTAAACACAATAAACAATTTTTGTTATTAATTTTCACTTTCAAAATTCAAATTAAAGAAAAGAGTCGGGAAACAAACTCACTGACAAGAGAATTTCTTCCCGGTTTGAGGACAACATCGAGACTTTGAATCAATCGAAAGAGCATTGCATACATAACCTACAAATAAATATTCACGTAAACATAAATAAATAAATAAATAAATAAATAAAACAATTTTTGAATATCAAATTGAGAAAAGAAAAATGGATACCATTGTTATCGGAAAGAAGGTATCTGCCTTGGACGGTGTTTTTGCAGGAAGGGATTAATTTGAAGCCGATATCTTTTCTGATAGCGGTGGTGAATGAAAAGTGAGAGAGGAAGAAGAAGAGTAATATTACGGTGGTTCTAGATGCGGAGAGTCCCATCGTGCAACCATGTGCCGTGATTTTCATCGATCATTGATTGAGCTTCACCACCGTTCCCGGATCGATTCCAATTGAATTCATTCATTCGTTGGTGTTTTTAGTGGGCCCCGTGTATCATATAATGGGCCGTCAGTAACTATCCACACCCCTGATTTTTAACAGACATTTTCATTTAACTTATTTTTACTTAGACATCCTCGAAATTTACATAATGCTTTTAGAACTCGAATTTTAGAATTCGGACACACCTCGTATTTGTCGCACATAACCCAATCTCATACACAAGTAAAAAGTCAAAGTTTTAAAAAAATTAACTTTCAATTTTCAATATTGAAATTCGAACGCTTACATTTAAGTATTTGTCCTCAATTTGACATTTACATTTTATCATAGTTATAAACAATTGAAACAGAGTTCCTCAATGCATACTTTTGTTTCAATATTTTTCGAATCCTTCTCTGAACTTCTACTCCAACATTCAACATATCTCTCCATTTATACTTCTCTACATTCAAGCCAAGAACATTAATCTCTCACATTTGGTAAGTTTATCATGTTGTTTTTTATTTTATTTGTGATGCATGCAATTTCTAAACAGGTTATAGTTATTTTACATTAAGTTACATACAATAGAGATAAAATATTTGTGTTGTTCGAATTAGATTTGGAATGAATTTTGAGTATTTGAGGCTTAGGGTTCGTGCATGCTATGTTCTATTACGGGTTCGTGCAGTCCATATTCTGAAATTCAGATTCTTAGTTCGCATAACAAAATTCAAATTACCCTATCTCTTTTGTTTTGTAATTTTGTTTGCTTAAATATTATTTTCACTTCTTTAATTATGATGTGCCTTTTTTGTTTGATTATAGAAGAAGAAAAAGGCTAATGACCAACAAGGATACATACATGGTCGAGTGGGACAACATACTTTAGTGTGAAGGGAGATAGTTAGACCATCACGGACCGCAATAGATAATCTTCGTGTGTTGCTAAGGGATCTTTTTTGCGGGATCATTTAACTTTGGCTCATTACGAAGCACTTGGTGCTTCCATTCATGTTTATGTACATGCTCATTATCCATATCCTACAACCGGACCTGATGTGATTGCACTTATTAGGTTTTTTAGAGGCCCCGGAGACAGAATACATTTCATTATTTCCTCTATATCTACATCATGTTGTTAGCACGTGTAGGAGAGATATGTAACAAATCTTTAATTTATCTTTTAAAGATATGTATTATATTAACTGAATTATCTCACGATGATGTATTTTTTTGCAGTACTGTAAAACATTGAAATATATAATTCATGGTAGGAAGGTATCTGTTATACCCCAAAATTTGTCCTCCCGTTTTCTTCAAGATATCTCCTCATGCTCCTAGAGTTTTCATTTGCTCAAGATTACTCAAGAATTGATCAGACAAATTCTCCTCTTAGGCAACAGACCTACAACTAGAGTTCCACTTTTCTCAAGGAAGATTGGGTTTATAAGGCCTCAAGTGGATTCCATGGTTTCTCATATGTCCCAAGTAATGTTCATACCAAGTTTCAAGCTTGCATCACAAATTTGCTCAATCAATTGCTCAGATGACTGAAAATTAATTGTATTGAGCAAAAAAGTCAATCGTGGTCAACATACAGTCAAACTTCAAGATTTTTGGTCAACATCAAGGTTTTGAAGTCATATTCATTATTTGATCAAGGGTTGATCATGATTCATCAAGAAAACTCAAGATTCGTCAAAAATCAAAAGTTACTAAATTAGGGTTTTCTTAAGGAGAAGTCAAATGAACTTTGACCAAACATAACTTTCACATGCTTCATCAGATTTTTCTCAACCAAATCTCATCTTGAAGGAAATTCAATTATCTATAACTTTTCCTCCCTAAGCTCAAGTTCAAAAATGCTTCATTTAAGAGATATGGACCAAGACATTATAGGTCATTTCAAAAGTCAACAAAAAGACACTTTTTGTCAAGGCAACTTACATCAAGATAAAGTCTTCAAATAAAAAAAATGATCAATGTGGAGATTGTATAGGGCATCTTGATATTTCTAAAAAGTCCAAGATTACCTTCATATGATAAAAATTGAGAGAGTTATGATTGGTGCAAGTTGGGAAATTTTGAGAAAATGCATGAAACCTAAAGTGGCCAAACTTTAATTTTTGGGCTAGTGGGCTTATGTTTCAAGCTCCATGCCTGTTATAAGCCTCAATATGAACCTCTGAACTTATTCATACATCCCTTGGATTTTTATTCTATTTATCTTTGATTTTATTTATTTAAAATTCAAAATAAATTAGATAAAATAAGATACTTTCTTACAAAGGTCCAAGCTCAATCCCTTTTGACCTAATTCCTCTCCATATATACTCTTCATTTAGACAAGACAAAGACATGAACCCTTGCAAGAAGATACCATTCAAAAAATCTAAAAAATTCTCAAAATTAGGGCAAATCGAAACTCTGTCTTGCAGCCTCCCTCAAGGCCAAAAACCTGTCTCATTCACTTCCAGAAGCATTGTAGGGTAAGAATGGATCAACTTTGAAGATCCAAAGAGGTTGAAACGCATAAACATGCATCACCATTTTTCCATTCTTGCATGAATTTATATTTTTACTTTCTTCACATTTTAATACATACTAACATTATTAACATGTTTCTGTGATATCAATGTGTAGGTTAGACCCATCGCATGGCCTCCATAACAACTGAATCGTGTTTGGCCATGTTTGCACCGTGTGACATTGTTTTCATTGTATCTCTTTCTACAGTGCGATTTTGCTAAAACCAATGGTTCTATTGAGTTTGCAAGGCTTGAATTATGAGGGTAGGGTCATTGAGAATCACAAATACTTCTTATTTTGTAGGGATAAATAATGAGCTCGCCGGAGAAGACGACTGGAGCTAGGGCTCTGGCGCTTCTTCAATCCAGTTATTTGAGTTTATTATTTGTTTATTTGTTTTCACTTATGTTACTGGATGTATAGCCACCCAATTGGAAAGCGCGCGCATGATAAAGCCTTACTATACCATGTTGTGGGTTTGATCCCTGCCTTTTGGTGTTTTGGAATTTTTTTTAAATATTTTCATGTTTTTTGCAGGTTTTAATATGTAGCGCGCTGATCTCATTCTCCTAACATAGGTGTGCGTTTGGCACAGTGGCAAGGAATGTTATGGAAAAGGATAAGGGCGTGGGTTTAACACCCCTCCCTGGCGTTTTTATGATTTTTTTTTCTATTTTCTCTCCTTGTTTGTCATTTTCCATAAAACTCTAATTCTTTTGGCAAACTAAACCCTATTTTCACTTAACCATAAAACATCAAAACCCTTTTTTTTACAAACTGTTGTACCCTAAAATTTACCCTCTCAATTTCTCAAGATATATCTCACGAAGACTTTCAAAAGCTCAAGTTTGCATAAGTACAAAGTAGTCAAAAGGAGTGACTGCAGACAATAGTTCAAATTCAAAATCTGGAAAATGGCCTCCTTCGATGCAAGCTTGATTCACCAGCTTTCGATTGAGCATCTGGCCTCCTTCAAACTTGCTTCAAATTCCCAAGATTCGATTGAGGCAATGGCCTCTTGCATGCTTGCTTCATACAAGCTTTGATTGAACAAATAGTCATCTTCATGCTAGCTTCGACTGGGCATTGTTTCCCTTTGAAACAACTTCCTTCGATTCAGAAGACAAGGGCCTCTTGTTGGTGTCCTTCGATTCAAAAGTTAGTGGCTTCCTACTGGCTTCTTTCGATTAAGAAGGAAATGAACTTCTGAAAGCTTCCTTCGATTTAGAAGGCAGTGGCCTTCTGAAGGCTTCCTTTGATTCAAATCAGGGACCTACTGCATGCAAGCTTCGATTGCACCATTGGCCCCTTACATGTTTGCCTTTGATTCACAAAGCAGAGACCTCCTGCATGCAAGCTTCGATTGCACCATTAGACTTACATGTTTGCTTTGATTCACAAAGCAGTAGCCTCCTACACACAAGCTTTGATTCACAAGCATTAGCAGTACTTCCTTCATATCTGCAAGGCAAGTACATCCTGCATGCCAGCATGCACAAGGCAAATGCCTCCTCTGTGTTTGCTTTCGACTCACAAGGAGATGGTTTCCTTTGTTTTACTTCAATGCACAAGGCAATGGCTTCCCTTCATGCTAGCGCCCATAAAGCGTTGGCTATTTTCACGCTAGCTTCAACTCAGCAATATTTCCCTTGGAAACAATCTATTTCGATTCCACATAGTGTCTACACTATGACACACAACTGGCGCATTCGAAGAACATGCATATGGCCCATTCGAAGCAGTGCAAGTGGTGCATTGGAAAACAAACAAATGATGGCCCATTCAAAAAATACACATATGATCCATTCGAAGGAAACACTTTGGGTGGAAGCAAATATTGTTGTCTGAAGAGAGGTTCTGGTCGAAGGTTAGACCTATGAGGTAAAAACGAAAGGGTGAAATATTCGAAGATGCTTACTGGCCAGAGTCCTATGTGTTGTGAAGTCCAAGCCTTCTGCACTGGCCATAACACTCCAAAAACTACTGCAAAGCAGTCTTGCTACGCTGCTCCCATACTTGCACCAAATTGGCATACAAAAACTGCACCTCAAAGACTACAAGAACAGCTTACCCAATTTGTCCAAATTTATTTTATTTTCCCCTTAAACCTCATGCAACTTCATCTATAAATAATAGGTTCCATCACATATCTAAAGGAGGCTTTTGGTGGCTAGAGAGAGATTTGCTAACAAGGCAAAGAAAGGAGAAAACACTTCACACACTCTCAAACCCAAAACTAAAGAAACACAACACTTGTTTCTTTTTTCCTTTGAATCCATAAGAAACACAACACTTGTTTCTTTCTTTTGAATCCAGCATTAGAAACACCGCACTTGTTTCCTTCTTTCGAATCCAGCACTAGAAGCACAACACTTGTTTCTTCCCTTCGAATCCCAGAGCATCCAGTTCAATCACTCAAGGTCCAG